ATACAAACGGGAGCCCCAAACGACCGCTGGCTGTCGCTCGCTCGCTCCCACTGGCTGTCGCTCGCTCGCTCCCACTGGCTGTCATTTATTAGTTAATACATCACTAATACTTGGACAAGAGCATTACTCACATCAAAGGGATAAAAAGGTTAAGTACTTAGGCTTGAAAAGAAATTAGCAGTGTGATACCCATTTTATTCCACAAATAAAATAAATTCCTGTATTTTGATTGCAAGTTCTGCGACTCGAAGTTGCTGGAAAGCAGCGGGTGCAAATAAATGCGCACATCAGATACAAATTGTAACCTGAAGTCAATGTAGAAGCTGCCAGTACTTCAGCAGCCACTGACCTCACTGCTCACGCCTCACTCGGAGTTCTGCAATGCCAGAGCTGGTTGACGTTTTCCAATACAGATGGGAGAAGAGGAACATGTCATCTTCCGTCTTTCTGAACTGCCAGGCCATATGGGTTTTCTATCAGGCCGGGATGCCTTAAGTAAAGACAATTGCAGCTCTTCGCAGGGAAAGGGATTGATCCTGATTCAGCAACTTCAGTCAAAATGGAAGGCCACTGGCGTCATTGTAAGGCAATATAACCACATAATTTCTCTCAGTCAGTTCACTACAAAAATGTAATAAGAATGAAACTAATGACACATCTACAATGATAATGTCTGCGACTTGCTGGCGACTAATTCAGGGTATACGCCGCCTCGTAACACAAGTCAGCTAGGGTAGTATCATGATCTGTTTTTTGTTGGTGTTTAGAATACATTTTGTTTTTCATGTTGTCTTAATTCCTTGTGTGTCTTTCACATGTCTCGCTCATTTGGTTAGTTTCCACCTCTTCTCATCAGCCCAGTCCCTTGTGTAAACCAATCAGCTCCCTCCAACCACTCTTGTCTTGTCCACGTGTTTCCAGTTGTCATGTCAATTTGTTTGGATTTAGTTCCCTGGTTTCTTTTGGATTTTTGTTAGTTCATGGTGTTTGTTGGTTCTGTTTGTGTCGATGTTGTTGACGTCACTTGTCATGGATCATGGTCAGGTCATGTTTCCATTTGTGGCGGGTGCGTTTGTTTTCTTGGGTTTATTTGATACGCTGAATTTTGATTTGTTGTTCTTTGTCAAGTTAGTATTTAGGTTATTGCCTGTGCCTTTTTTGCCCCTCCGTGAGCCGTGACCTTACCGTGGTGGAGGGGTTTGTGTGTCCCAATGATCCTAGGAGCTCAGTTGTATGGGGCTTTATGTCCCTGGCAGGGTCATCCAGGGCAAACAGGTCCTAGGTGAGGGACCAGACAAAGCACGGCTCACAAACGCCTTATGATGATTAAAATAAATGGCACTCAGTTTCCCTTGCCCGGACGCGGGTCACCCCCCCTGGAGCCAGGCCTGGAGGGGGGGCTCGTTGGCGAGCGCCTGGTGGCCGGGCTTACACCCATGGGGCCCGGCCGGGCTCAGCCCGAAGAGGCAACGGGGGTCCCCCTTCTCATGGGCTCACCACCCATGGGAGGGGCCAAAGGGGTCGGGCAAATGTGAGCTGGGCAGCAGCCAAAGGCGGGGAGGGCCCGGCTGGGCTCAGCCCGAAGAGGCAACGGGGGTCCCCCTTCTCATGGGCTCACCACCCATGGGAGGGGCCAAAGGGGTCAGGCAAATGTGAGCTGGGCAGCAGCCAAAGGCGGGGACCCTGGCGGTCCAATCCTCGGCTGCAGAAGCTAGCTCTAGGGACTTGGAATGTCACCTCTCTTGCAGGGAAGGAGCCCGAGCTGGTGTGCGAGGCAGAGAAGTTCCGACTGGATATAGTCGGACTTGCCTCCACACACAGCTTGGGTTCTGGTACCAGTTCTCTCGAGAGGGGTTGGACTCTCTTCCACTCTGGAGTTGCTCAAGGTGAGAGGCGCAGAGCAGGTGTGGGCATACTCATTGCCCCCCGGCTCAGTGCCTGTAAATTGGGGTTCTCACCGGTAGATGAGAGAGTTGCTTCCCTCCACCTTCGGGTGGGGGGACGGGTCCTGACCGTTGTTTGTGAATATGCACCAAACAGCAGTTCAGCGTACCCACCCTTTTTGGAGTCCTTGGAGGGTGTGCTGGAGAGTATTCCGGCTGGGGACTCCCTTGTTCTGCTGGGGGACTTCAATGCTCACGTGGGCAATGACAGTGAGACCTGGAAGGGCGTGATTGGGAGGAACGGCCCCCCTGATCACAACTCGAGTGGTGTTTTGTTGTTGGACTTCTGT